CTTTCAGATACCACAGCCGAGATCAAGGAGGTGACGACACCCAAGAAAGACAGAACTACTCTGCTTAAAGACATTTTAACAGCAGCAATTGGGAAAGACACGGCTACTGTGGCTGTGGTGACAACAGCTAAGCCAGGTGACTCTCCTGAAGGTATGGATGACATTCCAGATGCAGCCAAGCAACCTGTCCCTGCAGCAGCTGCATCAGAAGCAACGACAGCAGCCACAGCTCCCTTGCCCAAGCCCACAGCCACCAAAGCAGAGTCAACTCCTGAACCCAGCAAGGTTGTAACACCCAGTGAAAAAGAGACAAGTACAGAAACGGAGCAGGCTGCAGCAGCTACAGAGAGCACAGGGTCTACTTGTGTGGTGGTGATGACAACAGCTGGCAAAAAAGAGGTGACGACCCCCAAAGAAGTGAGCACCACACCTGCCAGAGAACTGGCAGAGGTCACTGAAAAGGCCCCTGGCACTGACAAAGCAGAGGCAACTACAGTTGCCAAAGAAACCACTACCAGGGATAAAAAAGACACGATTGAAGAAATGTATCTTGTTTCTAACGGCACATCCAAGCCAACAATACATTTCCACGAGGTCACTGAGAGCAGAGAGGATCCTCACCCAGCTGATCCCGAAACCCTGCCAGTGAAAGAACCTGAGATAAACAAGCCTTTAATACCAGGTGGGGACCTGCCAATGTTACCTGGAGAAACACAAGGTAATTGCACTCCAGCAGGCACAAATCACCAGTAACTCACCAGGACATGGCACTGTCTCAGTGCCCAGCCACAACCACGGCACTACAGCTGCCGCTGTCCTGCATGTGGGAACCTCAGTTAAATCAATTCTCTGGGTAGTTTAGAACATGATCTAAATTTGCTGCAAGTACTATAGCAGATGCAAAAAGAAAAAAAGTCAAGGAAAAAGGTAATAAATTTCTAAATCCCATGGAAACCTTACTAAGAGAGTCAGCCTGAATATCCACTGATAATGGAACCTTACCTGGCATTTTGTAGCTATATCCAAAACATGTAAGACATAAGCCAGACAAGGTGTTTTTTTATTGAATTATCTTCCCTCTATGCTTTTTACCACAACATTTTTCATGCCCTCACTATTTATTTTAGTCAAATATAGCCTGCATGTTCTTGGGCATTTTTTCCAATCATA